ACCTGTGCCCCCAGGGTCCAGCAAGGGAACAGGCCCCTTGCCAGGGGACAGGCCCCTTGCCAGGATTTTTAACTCAGCCAGGTAAAGGGGAGAGAAAGGGAAAGGGGAGAGAAAGCATAAGGCTGACAGATCTGATTGGGTGACATCTAGCTCCCCGCCAAGCACAAATCACCTGGCACCCCTTGCCTGTGAACATTGTCCCCAAGGATGGGGTCTGGGCACACTGGGCCCCCTGTCGGGTTAGTGGCTTCTGCACCCGAGTGGCTCTGGGACGAGTATGATCCGGCTCGACCTGTTGGGCTGCGGGCTGCTGGTCTGCGGGCAAGAAGCCTGGCTGTTATATCCTTAAAGGCAAAGCACAAGAACAAAAACATGCGGAGAAAAAATAAAGACAATTAGAGTGTGTTTTCCATGTTAGGACCCCGTTTCAGTTATAGACTACAACCTGCCCCAGCCATTGCAGTCCCTTGAGGACTTGCAAAGTTTTGGCTTGGTGGTCAGTCAGGAATATGAATTTTTATTTGATGCTATCCTCTGATCATTATGTGATTTGATGTTCTGCTTTTTAAGGAGATTAAATTGATATTTTTCTAATTTGTATAATATAATTTTGTCTTATATCTACTTTAGTATTGAATGTTTTCATGGTGGGATTTGGACTTACTCTTTTATTTCTGGCATTTTTTTTTATAAATATATTTTATTGATTTTGTACAGAGAGGAAGGAAGAAAGATAGAGAGCCAGAAACATCAATGAGAGAGAGTCATTGATTAGCTGCCTCTTGCACACCCCCTACTGGGGATACGCCCGCAACCAAGGTACATGCCCTTGACCGGAATCGAACCCGGGTCCCTTCAGTCCCCAAGCCGACGCTCTATCCATTGAGCCAAACCGGTCCCGGCTATTTCTGGCACTTTTAATGCAAGCCAGCTACAGTGCAGCAGGCTTTGAAATGGTAACTGTTAAACCTAACCCCTTTTAAATTTTACATAGATTCTTATCACTGAAAGAGAACCAGACTTATTGTTTTGCCTTATTGTTTTTATACTACAAATATAGAAATAGAACTTACATACTTGGAAATTTATGTAAGATTCTATTGTAAAAACTTATTGAAAATTCAATCTAAAAAAATTGAGACTTATTTTTCCTGCTAGGTAATGTTTGGGATATAAAATAAGCCTATGACAGTCTCTGTCCTCATGGAGGATAGAATCCTATAAGGAGAGGTCTGTGAGGTAGGCAGAAATTAATTTATTTGCATTTGCTTTTGATCTTTTGAAATAAAGTTTCTGATATAACTATTAGCAAGATCCTCTAAACTACAGAGAACTGTGGTGATGATTGTATGGATGCTGAGAGAGCCAATATACAGAAAACTGAATGACTTCTCAGTAATCAGTAACTTCACAAAAAGGGAGGTGGGGAAGTACTCCCTATCTATCAGATATTTATTTATATTAACTCATTATAATAAATAATGCCATTTAGCCCTCAAAATCCTTTGGAGTAGACACTATGATTTCCACTTTAAAAATACAAAAATTGAGGCCCAAAGACAGTAACTTGTCCAAGTTTATATAGCTAGTGACAGAGTTAATTTGTACCACTTGCTATAAATAGATAGCAACATTATCCAAAGAAAGGATATGTCTATCAAAAGATAGCTTGAAACATGCTAAACGTAAGGTCAGAAAGAAAATTGATAGGTTATATCTAGGATTATTCAGGAAAGGAAATGCTATGACTCTAGTACTTAATTTCTTGAAAGTCCCATGAACCTTTTTGTATTCCTGTTATGAACTGGTTGAATAGTACTGTCAAAATAGAACTGATGATGCCGAAACTGGTTTGGCTCAGTGGATAGAGCGTCAGCCTGTGGACTGAAAGGTCCCAGGTTCGATTCCGGTCAAGGGCATGTACCTTGGTTGTGGGCACATCCCCAGTAGGGGGTGTGCAAGAGGCAGCTGATCCATGATTCTCTCGTATCGATGTTTCTAACTCTCTATCCCTCTCTCTTCCTCTCTGTAAAAAATCAATAAAATATATTTTTTAAAAATAGAACTGATACAGATTCACCTGTTGCCTGTTTCATTTCTGTATGTGTGTGGTAAAAATACATACCATAAAATTTAAAATTTTAATTCATTAAGTCCATTTAAATGTTATGTAGCATTTACTACCATCCATTTTTGGAACTTTTTCATCATCTCAAACAGAAACTCTGACCCCATTAAATCATAACTCTTCATTACCCACCCTGCCAAACCTCAATGAATTTGCCTATTATATACCAAATCTAAGTGATATTATATAATATTTATCCCTTTAATTTTAGCTCATTTCATTTAGCATCTTTTTAAGATTCATCCATGTTATAGCAAGTATTAGAATTTCAAGCCTTTTTATGGCTGAATAATACTCTGTTGTATGAATATACCACATTTGTTTATCCTTTCATTTATTTATGAATTCTTGAATTGTTTCTTCCCATTGGCTATTGTGAATAATGCTGCTATGAACATTAGTGGACAGTGTTCATAGCAGCATCAGTCCTTGCTTTCAATTATTGGTAATTCTATGTTCAACTCCCTGAGATTTCCCATAGCTGCACCATTTTTTTATTCCCATTAGCAATTTGTAAGAGTTTTAGTTTCTCCACATCCTCACCAACACTTCTTATTATTGTTTGTTTGTTTTCATAATAGCCATCCTAATGGACGTTAGTAAAGTGGTTTCTCATTGTAATTTTGATTTACATTTCCCTAATAATTAATGAAGTTGAGTTTCTTTTTGTGTGCTTATTGACCATCTGTATAGATAAATGGAGAAATGTCTGTTCAGTTCCCTTGCCCATTTTTAAATTGAGTTGAAGGTTTTTGTTGTTGAATTATAGAATTCTATTTTTTTTAGTTCTATTTTTTTAATTTTTAAAAATATGTTTTTACTTATTTCAGAGAAAGAAAGTGAGAGGGAGAGAGAGCTAGATAAGATACATCAATTATGAGAGAGAATCATCAATGGGCCACTTCTTATACACCGCCCACTGGGGATTGAGCCCACAACCTGGGCAGTGCCCTGACTGGGAATCAAACCATAACCTCCAGGTTCATAGGTTGATGCCCAACCATTTAGCCACACTGGCTGGACTATATATATATGTATATATGTATATATGTATATATGTATATATGTATATATATAAATAGATATTAATCCCTTATCAGATATATGATCTGCCAGTATTTTCTCCCATTCTGTAGGTTGTCTTTTCCCTCTCATGATAGTGTCCTTTGATATACAATGTTTTTCATTTTAATGAAATTCAGCGTATTGGGGGGTTTGCCTCTGCCTTAGATGTCATATCCAAGAATCATTGCAAATCCATGAAGATTTCCCCTTATGTTTCCTCCTAAGAGTTTTATAATTTTAGCTCTAATATTTAGGTCTTTGATGCATTTTGAGTTAATTTTTGTATAGAATGTAAGGAAAACATTCTACTTCATATTTTGCATGTGAGTATCAGGTTTCCCAGCATTATTTGTTGAAATGAGTATCTTTTTCCTATGAATGGTCGTGACACCATTACAGAAAATCATTTGACTGTATATGTTATGGTTTATTTCTAGGTACTCTGTACTATTCCATTTGTCTATATGTCTGTCCTTACGCCCAGACTATACTGTTTTGATTACTGTAGCTTTGTAATAAGGTTTGAAATCAGGAATTGTGAATCTTCAAAATTTATTTTTTATTTTCAAGATTGTTTAAGGTATTTGGGATTTTTTGAAAGTCCATGTGAATTTTAGTATGGTTTTTTATATTTCTACAAAAAACATCATTGGGATTAAGATAGAGATTGCATTGAGTTTATAGATCACTTTGGGTATTATTGTCATCTTAACAATATTAGTCTTCTAACATATGAACACAGATGTCTTTCCATTTATTTATGTACTAGAAGTCTGATGCATGAAAATTCATGCACTGAGGTGGGGGGTGGGCTCTCAACCTGGCCTGCGCCCTCTCACAGTCCCGGAGCCCCATGATCTATTGCTCCACAGAAGTAGGCCCTACCCACCTGCCGCAGCACCTCTGGCTGGCCAAGTAGCCTGGGCCTTCCCCTGGCCACAGCTCTGCTATCAATAGCCCGCAGCCAAAACTGGTTTGGCTCAGTGGTAGGGCGTTGGTCTGCAGACTGAAAGGTCCCAGGTTCGATTCCAGTCAGGGGCTTGTACGTTGGTTGCGGGCACATCCCCGGTAGGGGGTGTGCAAGAGGCAGCTGATCAATGTTTCTCTCTCATTGATGTTTCTAGCTCTCTATCTCTCTCCCTTCCTCTCTGTAAAAAAGTCAATGAAATATATTTTAAAAATAAATAAATAGCCCCGCAGAGGAAGGCCCCGCCTACCTGGATGGTCGGTGGCCTAGGCCTCCCACTTTGGGGTAATTGTGGAGCTCCCCAAATGATTTCCCCGCCCTCTGCAGGCGATCATGGAGCCATGGCAAGGGCCCCCGACCAATCGCATCGCACCTGCCTTGACTGGCCTGGCGCCAGTGCATGTCATAGTATGGTTGTCAGGAAGGTCATTCTGCTGTTCGGCCTTTCGGTTGATTTGCATATTATGCTTTTATTATTATAGATTATTTAAGTTTATTTTAGTGTTTTGTAGTTTTCGGTGTATATTTTAGTTCATGTGGCTGTCATATTTCTTACAGTAAATTAATAAATGAACATTTCAGTTTACCCATTATTATTTAATGTCCTATAGATCTATCAAGATTCTATTCTATTTGTAACATAATTAGGATTCTAAATCCACAAAGCTGAGGGAAGGATCCTGGAAATTGGAAACCTAACCATATTGCTGCTCTTGGGAAACTATGTCTGGGTGTCCAGACTGCTGGTTTCCTCTGATAAAAACCTAATTTCACTGTCTGTCTTCTTTGGTCTACTGTAGTTTGTTCACATTTCTAATTTTTTCTATCTTTTGCTTCTAGATTTCTCCATCTTACTAAAGGAAACACGATTCCCTATTTGGTATAGCTGATGGTACCATGCAAAAATAAGATCCTCGAAAAGGTCAGAACCTGTATTTATACATAAGAGAAATAAAGCGTTATCCTCTATTAAGCTTTGTATTAATGGACGTGTCACAAATAAAACAACTAGAGTGAATAAAAGAATGTCACCCTTTCTTGCCTATTTATCCTACAGTTTTGACAAGTCCTGCATATTATTTATGCAGCTCTTTATAGTTTGCAAAGTGCTCTTCAAAGAATTATACATTTTTTACAGTAATCTTATGAAGTGGGTACTATTGCTATTCCTGTTTCATGGAAACAATGAAAGATTATTAGATTATTCAAAATTATGTCATTATGAAGAGCAAGATATAGTCCTAGATCTTTTGGTTCTAAATCTTACCCTTTTCATATTGTAAATTCATAATCAGTATCAGAATTTAGTAAACATGTAAGTATGGAAGCTGTATGAACATTTGAAATAATGTATATAAAAGTCTGTGAAAAAAGTTAAAGTCCCTTTATAGATGTAAAATACCATTAATAATTCAATATTAATGGTATTTTACATCTTGATATTGAATGTCTAACATGATCTTTAGGATGACATAAAACACTTCAGTATGTAATATGCCATTGTCTTAGTTTAGCAAACAGCTCTTCACAAGTTGCTGCCTACCTACTTTTCTATTCTCATCTCAATCACTTCCTGTCACTTATCTCTTACTTTACCCTATTCTTTTACATCTATAATAAACTCCTGGCTATTGTCCTAACACACTATGCATTTTCAGGAAGTATGATGTGGCACCATTGATGCCAATGATCTTGTTCAAGAAGCAACAGAGAGAGTTATGGTTTCTCTGCATTTTCATTAGCCACTCATTGTTAGCTGCTTTACTTGTTAAAGGAAATATTGATGTTCTCTAGGGGTCTGGTCTCTCTGTGTGCACTGCAGAGATGCATAATTGCTACAGAGAGTGGGGGAGGGACAGTCACCAAGGAGAGATCCGCTCCATCTTCTTTGTTCACATCTGCTGCATGCACAAGGCAGGATTTTTTGCTTTCTTGGCAAATGTGATTGCCTACCTTGCCTCTCTCCCCTGTTCTGGTGGATCATCCCAGAGGAATATTACCATCTCATCACACTCATCTATGAATGGAGCAAAATAAATGGAAAGCTGCAGGCAGAGGATCAGGTGAGAGGCACTAGGGATACTTGCTAATGAGAGAGTGGCTGATTAGTGGCACATCCCAGCCCAGTCTTCTGTCTTATCTCCTGCCTCCCCGTGGCTTGTCATCCATGACCACAGTGGGACAGTTGTTCAGCTCTCAACATTTCAATTTGATTTCTGTGCATATCGGCTTAGGATTGTGGTTTATTAAAAACCACAACTGTTACCTAACACTGAAAGAGTTCTATCTTGTCTAATGGGTTTTCAGAAGTACATTTGATTCTTCTTCTTCTACTTTCTAGTTTACGTTTCTGGGAGAAACATTCTTCCTTCCCTGTTCTCTTTTTCCTTTCCCTTCCTCACCTTATCTCTCATTGGTATGTGAATGTAAGCCTGCATTATTTTCCAACCTCTATGAATAATTTAAAATACAGTACCTATGAACATCCTCTGTAACTTAATTTTACCTTATTTAATCCCAGACTATATCTATCTTATTCAGTGTCCAGATCAAATGTCAGTTTTTACTGTAGTAAAATGGATGGCAGATTCACATACACATTTGATTGTAGTTCTTCCCACGCTGGACTGGCTAATTTGTATTAGAAACATTTGTACGGTTTCTTTTCATTTGTTTGTTTATTTTGAGGAGAAAGATGGTGTTGTTAAGAGCATAGTTTTTGTTCAAATTCTGCCTTTTGACTGAACTTTCAGAAAGTTAATCAACCTCCCTGGTATCATTTCCTTATTTGTAAAAATAAATAATAATACCATACTAAGTGGTATCAAACGGGGAGGATGGTCTTATTGAAACACTTAGCACAGTATCTGGCACACAGTAAACACTTAAAAATAAGATGCTAGTAGTAATTATTATTGCTATTTTAATATAAAAGATAATTTACAACTGATTTTTAAAATACATTTTTATTGATTTCAGAGAGGAAGGGAGAGGGAGAAAGAGAGATGAAAACATCAGTGATGAGAGAGAATCATCGATCTGCCTCATGCATGCTCCACCTTGGGGATCGATCCCGAAACCCGGAGCACGTGCCCTGACCAGGAATTATACCATGACCTCCTGGTTCATAAATCAATGCTTAATCACTGAGCAACACCAGCTAAGCTGATATTTTTTCTTTTTTTTTCCTCTTTTTTATTGATTTCAGAGAGGAAGGGAGAGGGAGAGAGAGAGAGAAGCATCAATGATGAGAGAGAATCATTGATTGGCTGCCTCCTGCATGCTCCTTACTGAGGATCAAGCCCACAACCTGGCATGTGCCCTTGTCTGGAATCTAACCTGGGACCCCTTCAGTCTACAGGCCATTGATCTGTCCACTGAGCCAAGCCAGCTAGGGCTGATTTATTCTTAATATCACAATATATGAAGAATTTTTTTTCTTGCTTCAAGGTATGATCTATTGTAATTGTTTTGTCACATTTCAAAAGGATGTTTCCATAGTAGATTTTTCTATTATATATTATCTCTATATTCTAATACTAGAATCTTTACATTCTCTAGATCTGCACTGTTCAATATCATAGCCACTGAACATGCATGTATTTAAATTGAATGAAAATTAAATACAATTAAAAATGCAGCTCTTCAGTAATTCTACACACATTTAGGTGCTGCATAGCCACATGTGACTAGTGGCTACTCATTAGACAGTGCAGATGTAGAACATTTCCATTATCACTGACAGTTATATTGGACAGCAATACTTTAGATGTGCCTAGTCTATGCTCCTGCATTCCTTTCTTAGAAATCAGAAGAGGGTATATTTTCTAGGATGTTGCAGAGACTCCTGTCTTAATGTTTCAGGGCTCTGGACATCAAAGGACTCAGATTAGTCTTCTTACTCCAGCCCCTTAGTGTCATTACTGTATTTTGAAAGAAACAGAGGCATTTTCACTTCCCCCAAGTAAATCACATTTCCATAATTTTTAAAGGTCCCAGTCAAAACTTGTGTCTGTCCTAATATTGTGAGTATTATTGTAGAATCCTTAGGGGCTAACTAGTAACAGGGGTTCTAATGTCTTTTTTATAAATACGTTATATTATTCAAATTCCGAGTTTTCTCTCTCAGAAAGGTAGTAAACAGCAAGTTTTTCCTGAATAATCTCTATTATCTGTATTTTGCACTTTGTATTATGCACTTTTAAAGACTTTTTTTGTTCTTCACAACAATTTAGGGAAGCAGTAGTATTAAGATTGCATTCCTATTTTACCGATTAAAAACCTAAGGCTTGCCAAAACCGGTTTGGCTCAGTGGGAAGAGCATCAACCTGTGGACTGAAAGGTCCCGGGTTTGATTCCAGTCAAGGGCATGTACCTTGGTTGCGGGCACATCCCCTACGGATGTGCAAGAGGCAGCTGATGGATGATTATCTTTCATCGATATTTCTAACTCTCTATCCCTCTTTCTTCCTCTCAGTAAAAAGTCAATAAAACAAAAAACAAAAAAACAGCAAAAACCTGAAGCTTAGTACAATTAATTATTTGGCTAAGTACTTTAAGAAAAAATAAAATTGTTATTCAAAACAGGATAAAATTATAACTTCAAGCCCTGGCTGGTGTGGCAAATACCTGGGTTGCAGGTTTGATCCCTGGCTCCAGTTGGGACTGTATGCAGGAGACAACCAATTGATGTGTCTTTCTCACATCAATGTTTCTCTCTCTCCCTCTTCTCTCCCCTTCCTTCCACTCTGTCTCTAACAATCAATGGAAAAAATATCCTTGAGTGAAGAGTAACAAAAAATAAATAAATTTAACTTTCAGTTCAATATTTTGTTTTGTTTTTATTTTATAAAAGAAAGATTAAAGCTTCTTTAGGACAACTTGGAAACTGATGACTGTTGTATGAAGTACTCAGAGAATTACTGCAGCCTCATTTGTCCTATGGCCATCTGCCATAACAAAATGCCACAGACTGGGTGGCTGAAACAACAGAAATTTATTTTTTCACAGTTCCTAAGGCTAGAAGTCCAAGGTCAAGGTGTTTGCAGGGCTGGTTTCTGGTGAGGCACCTCTCCTTGACTTATAGATAGGTGTCCTCAGGTGGCCTTTTTCTCTGTATGTCCTTGAGGAGGGAGTGAAGGAGGAAGAAGAAGGAGAGAGAGAGAGATAGCTAGAGAGAGAGAGAGAGAGCGCGCGCGCGCGCTTTCTCTTCTTATGACACCAGTCCTGTCAGATTAGAGGTCCACCCCTATGACCTCATTTAATTTTAGTTATTTCCTTAAAAGTCCTATCTCCAAATATTGTCACATTAGAGATTAGAACTTTAACATATGAATTTTGTGGGAACACAGATCAGTTCGTTACATTATGTTAATGGTGTTTGAATATCTTTTGATTTTTCTGGCTTACCCTAATTGGAAATTATATTTATATTAAACATTTTTATTGGAATAAATGTAGCAAGTATCTATATTCTTTATCTCTGCAGATATTGAGGCTTAGTTAAAATAAACCTGTGGTACTTGCTAGAAGGTACTGTCTAACACTGAGATAGTCTAATAAGCAAAAAAATTATGTCTGTCAAACTATGAAAACTATTCTTCTAATGCAGCCTATTTTATTAATAGTACTTTACAGGGTAATAAATGTCCACTTCTTTTCCACCCCAACTTTACAGATGGAGAAATTAACATACAGAGAAACTGACTTGTCAGAGGTCAGAGCAAGGTATTGGTGGATCCAGGGATAAATCCCAACTTCTTAACACCTTGTCCAGTTTTTCATTGACTATGCAGCCTAGTGGTAAGTATCTTTTTACTCTTAGAGGTAAGAGGGATTAAGAGCCTTAGCAAGGACTGAATTTAAAGAATTTCTCAATTCTAATTAGATTATTCATTATCCTTTCCTGTTAGCCATGATGTCATTTTTTTCATTAGCATGAATTTTCCAGGTCATGAAAGGAGGCTGAAAGTTTTGCTTTTTTTAAAAAAAATTTCAATCATAGTTGACATTCAATGTTATTTTATATATATATATATATATATATATATATATATATATATATATATATATATTTGTATTGATTTCAGAGAGGAAGGGAGAGGGAGAGAAAGATAAAAACATCAATGATGAGAGAGAATCATTGATTGGCTGCCTCTTGCCTGTCACCCACTTGGGATTGAGCTTGCAACCTCAGCATGTACCCTGACCCAGAATCAAATGGTAAACTCCTGGTTCATAAGTCACTGCTCAAACACTGAGCCACACCAGCTGGGTGGAAGTTTTGCTTTTTAAATACTTAAAAATATTTCTATAATGGTTCAACTATAGTGGAGATTATTATTAAGAAAGGGAAAAAAATATATTTAATGTATTTTTTATCGGTGTTAGGTACCATGCTAGAAACTTTGCATTACGTTATTTTACTTAAACTAGAGGCCCAGTGCACGAATTCATGCACGGGTGGGGTCCCTTGGGATGGCCGGGGAGATCGGCCCCCAGCTCATACCCCAGCTTGTGCCCCCAGTCCCACAGCCCCACCTGGCATTTTGCCTTGGCCTGGCGCAGCCCCCTCACCTGCTCCACCATCCTGCCTACAAGGTGATCAATTGGAGCTAGGGGGTCAGGTGGCGACCCCACCCCCCACAACCGCTGCTGCTGGTCACTGTCTGTGGAACAAATAGCAAGCTCGGACTGAGAGGCTGAGGGCACAAGCTGGGGCCCAATCTCCGCGGGCTACCCCAAGGGACCCCACCCATGCATGAATTCATGCACTGGGCCTCTAGTTTAAGTAAAATAACATAATGCAGAGTTTCTAGCATGATACCTAAACCACAGTTGGACATCTTCTCAAAATCTGGGACTGCTGGCTCCTAACCACTTGCCTGCCTGATTGCCCCCAGTAGCCCTCCCCTGCCCATCCAATGGCTCCCAGCTGCCCTCTCCTGCTGGTCTAGTTACCCCAAATTTCCCTCCCCTGCAGGCCTGGTTAGCTCCAACTGCCTTCCCTTGCAGGCCTGGTTAGCTCTAACTGCCCTCCCCTACAGGCCTGTTGACCCCCAACTGCCCTCCCCTGCCAGCCTGATTGCCCACAACTGCCCTGTTCTGCCGGCCATCTTGTGATGATATGGGAGTGGCCATCTTGTGATGACATGGGGCGGCCATCTTGTGAGAGCATGAGGGCCACCTAGGCTTTTATTAATAAAGAGTTTAGGACTTGATCTTTGAAGGCTTTTAAATGAGGTAGTGACAAGTTTTATTCTATCCATATTTCAGAAAATTAATATCAAAGTATGGGTTGAAAGGAAGTGAGATCAAACAGGAATTAAGTAACTATTTTTATAGGTCAAGGTGAGAGATAATGCAATCTTAACTCAGATTAGGAGCAGAGGAAATGGCCATTTTAGAGGTAGAACTAATATAATTTGATAACCTAGTTGATTTGGGAGGACAGGGAGTGCAGACAATTAAAAAGGATTTCAGGTTTTGAATTATTACTATTAATGGGAAAAGGACTACCAGAGAAGAAATATCCTGCCTGATAAAAGGAAATAAAACAAAACTAGTTATTTTAAAAAAGTAGCTACATATCATAATATACTCTGAAACATGGCCATTATGTTTAGAATGTTTGAAAAGTTATACAACTACTTCCCTTTAAAAAAATTTTTTTTTAAATATATTTTTATTGACTTCAGAGAAGGAGAAGGAACAAGAGAAAGAAACATCAATGATGACAGAGAATAATTGATCAGCTGTCTCCTGCACGCCCCTCTCTGGGGACCAAGCCTGCAACCCAGGGATTTGCCTTGAATGGAAATCAAACCATGGCCTCCTGGTTCATAGATTGACACACTCAACCACTGAGCCACACTGGCTGGGCACTAGCTCCTTTTTTTTTTAATCTATTTTATTGATTTTTTATGGAGAGGAAGAGAGAGGGATAGAGAGTTAGAAACATCAATAAGAGAGAAACATTGATCAGCTGCCTTCTGCTCACCCCCTACTGGGGATGTGCCCGCAACCAAGGTACATGCCCTTGACAGGAATCGAACCTGGGACCTTTCAGTCCGCAGGCTGACGCTCTATCCACTGAGCCAAACCGGTTTCGGCTGGCTTTTATTTTTTGTCTTTACTAAGATATTTTTTTCTAAACTGCATTAGTCACTTTTAAATACTATTTTATTAATCTTGTAACCTGATTTTTATTTATTGTGGCTTCCTGAAGCAGTTTTACATATATTAGTAGCTCACCTTAAGTCATATGGTACTGAAAAAGTGTATAAATAAATACACTATATATTGGTATATAATGTTTAAGAATACATTCCTTTTTTAAAAAATATATTTTATTTTTAAAAAATATATTTTATTGATTTTTACAGAGAGGAAGGGAGAGGGATAGAGAGTTAGAAACATTGATGAGAAAGAAACGTGGATCAGCTGCCTCCTGCACACCCCCCACTGGGGATGTGCCCACAACCAAGGTACATACATGCCTTGACCAAAATCAAATCTGGAACCCTTCAGTCTACAGGCCGAGGCTCTATCCACTGAGCCACACCAGTTAGGGCTACATTCCTTCTAATTATAAAAGTAATTGTGAAAAACTTTAAATATAAATTCAGTTATAATACCCTAATATCTTTTGTCTTTGTCAGCAATTTTTAAGCCTGATAAACTTTGTAAATTTTAGTAATTATTTAGAGGAGAACAGACATGGCAGATTACTAGAAAGTCAGGGCTCCTCAAACCAGGAGAGAAGGCACATACTTGGAGTGGAACACGGACCAGTTCGACTGGAATGTGGTGGAAAAGTCATAATACATAAGACCGGAGGAGTCGCAGGAGCCAGATCCTGCATAGCTTTGTAAGGTATCCTTAACTCCGTGTGAAGCTGTTGGAGGTCCTCAAGCAGATAAATGACATTTTATGTTTTAAAATGATGCTCACTTTAACCCCTATGTATAGAAAATATGTTGAAGTAGGCCAAGAGTAGAAAAAGGAAAAGTGAGCAGAAAAACCCTTTTTGAATAAGGCAATAATGTGAGAAAGTAAGAAGGCAGTGACTATAGACAACTCTTAAAATAAGTTTTCTCTCTCTTTTTTTTTTATTGTTTAAAGGGAAAAAATAAAAAACAAATATACCTAATTATAACTAGTGAAATATTTTGCTTTAAAGTTTACTTTATCTGATCCTAATATAACTACGTACTTCAACTTATTTTTGTTGGCAGTATTTTTTTAGTTTATTCTTCTGTTCTTTCCTTTTTATATTTGAGGTTTATCTCTTATAAATAACATGTGTTTTTTTTTTAATATAATCCAACTATATTTGTTGGATTTTAATTGGAATAATTAAAACATTTCATTTTCTTTGGGAAAAAATAAAATAAGTTTTCCTATGAAGGAGAGAAAAGTTGAAGGATATAGCAGGAGAGAGATATGTCAGATTAAGAGGTGATGTTTTTGGGTTTTTGTCTTTATTTGTTTTGATAGGTGAAGGAGTAGTAAGAATGCTGATGCAAACGATCTATTAGAAGGGGAGTCTTTGCAAAGCCCTAAGAGGAGGAGAGGAAATGATATCTGGAGCAAGAATTGAGGGTTGACTTTTGATAAAAACAAGGACACTTTATCCACAGCAGCAGGAGACAATCAGAAATAATGATGAATGAGTAGCTTCATTTATTCACCAAATGTTTTAACTGAGAACCTACTACTATACTATGCAATGGGGATACTAGTATACCACTAAATAAGATGTGTACCTTTCTGAAAAGAGTGGCATGTCGAAGGTTTCTATCCCTTTTTGTTGTTTTCTCAATGAATGCAGAATTAATGTACTCCCCTAAGAGCAAAGGTGAGGGAGGGAGTATTTGGAGTATGAGGAGAGAGAAAGGCATATTAATTTGTTTTTTGGAAAGTAGAAAAGCAAGTAGGAAATGTGGTGTGATTTGCAGATGGTGTTAAGGTAGCATTTGAAAGTTATGGCCATGTGTTTAAAGTGAGATCAGTAAACTTGCATTTGTTTTTCTTTAGTACTGAACTGTTGGGATAGGCATGGTATAGGGGGATAAGTGGTTTAAACCAAAGTTAGGATTGAGGCTTGGTCAAGAGTGTTTGCAGGAAGTGATTTTAATGAGAGATCACGGAATCTGAGCTGGGTAGGAAGAGAAATGAAAATGTGATGGGTAATTGATGGTGAGAAAGTGGTAGATGGTCAATAGACTAATCTAAATTTTCAAACGAGGAAAATGTATTTCTATTATGTAAGTTATGTATCCTCTTTATGGAAAAATTTTAAATATATGAAGTTAGAAAATAGAAAGGGGGAAAAGACTACAGATTGGATGATTTAAATAATACAAATTTATTTTCTCACAGTTCTGGAATCTGGAAGTCCAAAATCAATGTTTTGGACGTAATTTTTTTCTGAGTCCTCTCTCCTTGGCTTATAGATGTCTGTCTTCCTTCTGTGTCTTTACATCATCTTTTCTTTGTCGTGGTCTGTGTCTGAATTTTCTCTTATATGGATGCCCGTCATATTATCGTAGTTTAGGGCCCACCCTAATGATCTAATTTTAAGTTAATTACCTGCTTAAAGACCCTCCAGATGGTCACATTGAGATATTAGGGAGGATTTCAACATGAATTTTGGGGGGACACAAATTAGCTTATCACAGGGTTGTTCTTTGTTTTTCATTTTTTTTACATAATTGTTATTATTCCATGAATATAATTTTTATCCCATATTTTAACAGATAACATTATAACTTAAACATTTTCCTGTTTTGTTGCTTAGCCTTTGTAAAAGTTTAAGAGCTGCAGAATATGTTGTCAAGTGAATGTATTGCAGTAATTTAATTAGCCTTCTCTTGTGAACATTTAGGTATTCCCTTCCCTTTTTTTGTTATTTATAAACACTACAGTAGCTTTTAAAATAAAAAACCTTTTTTTTCAGTATCTTATATTATTTCCTTTGAATAGAGTCTCAGAAGTACTTTATCCGAAACTATTAATACGTACTCCTCAATTGGAGAAGCATTGAATCTTTTCTTTGCACATGACTTCTTTTTTTTCTTCCCACAGAAATAGACTGGAATGATGTTAGAAAACACAAATATGGTCATCTGTTGGAGTCTGCATCCCAATATCAAGGTAAGAAAAATATCCTGTTTAGCATGGAAGACTTATCTGGCATTTCTTACTATAAAACCTTTGAGTGTACAAAGAATTCACTGGTTAAAACAAAAACAAATATTATCATTTATAGGGGTATCTGTCAAAATCAATATGCTTTGTTTTGAACTGGAAATCAGGAATTTTAGATTCTAAGTACAGATAATCCCAAATTAGCTTCAGAGCTTTAAGCATAGTTAGCTTCTCTGGACTTCCATAGTTTTTAAGAGGCTTGGGTGGTATACTTTTACAAGTATTACTACTAAACTTAATGTCTTTTAAAATGGGAGAATTGGACTAGACAAACCCTCAAGCCCTCATTTTACCCCCAATCTTCACTTTTCTATTATTTTGGTAAGTTTGTTATGATGACTTATGCTGTGACATTTTTTTCTTTAATAGAAGCTACTGACATCCTGGAGTTAGGTAAGATATTTTTCTTATGTTTCTGTCACTAAACCAGGGATAAGATTATAACTAGGAAAAGAATTCTATGTGTCTGTCTCAAACTAGTGGATCCTGTGCTCTTCTCTACATAATGAGCCCATGAATTCATCTCTGCTGCTATGTCAAAACCTCTTTGTCAGGAGGCCAAAGACCAAGCTAACAAAAAGGAAGAGGTGGAATTTAATTATAAGGAGGATGGGAACTGAACCAAACTGGAAGTAACCTCATAATTTACTAAATCCAGAACTAAAACAAATCCCCACCATCCATAAATAAGAATTTGGTAGGATTTTCCCCAAAGAAATTATTTATGAGAGATATTGAACTGAAATGAAACCTAAGGATATTCTAATTTTTAACTAAATAAAAACTAAAATATTAAAATATCAAATAACAAGAGTCAGACTAATATTACATTTGGTTTTCATCCCTGCATAGTATACTTTAAGAGTAGGATTTGAGAAATATTGATGATATTTCTCTATCAAGGTTCCTATATAAACATCAGTCTTAACTTCTTAGAGTTCTTTAAATTTTTTCTACATGTTACATGTATATTGATAGCCTGATGCCTTTATCAATTTTTGTTCAAGTATTTTTATATATTTTGTTACTGCTACTTCATTTGTTCAGCTCTGTTATTGCCTATTTGCTTCCTCCACCTTTTCTTTTAATAACATATTACTTTCACTGCCCACTGATAAAGATAACATAAAGTAGTAGAACATTAGAGTAGGAGCCAGAACTTCTGGGTTCTTTGAAAGCCAACTCTGCCTCTTAGAAAGTTTGTGACACTGATCCTTAGTTTTTAGAATTGTCAAATGGAGATAATAATCCATTCTGCCTACTTAACAGAGTTGTTAAGAATTCTATCTAATAGCCGAAGCTGGTTTGGTCTGCGGACTAAAAGGTCCCAGGTTCGATTCCGGCAAGGGCTTGTACATTGGTTTCGGGTACATCCCCGGTAGGGGGTGTGCAAGAGGCAGCTGGTCAATGTATCTCTCTCATCGACATTTCTAGCTCTCTATCTCTCTCCCTTCCTCTCTGTAAAAAATCAATAAATATATATTAAAAAAAAAAAAGAAAGAAAGAAAGGAAAAGAAAAGAAATGCAATCCTTAAAAAAAAGAAAAGAAAAAAGAATCCTATCTAATAAAGAGGTGAATATGCTAATTGACTCTCATGCCGCCACAAAGATGGCGGCACCCACAGCCAATAAGCAGGGAATATGCTAATTGACTGCCATACCCTCAAAGATGGTGGTGGCCACAGCCACAAGATGGTGGCACCCAGTCCCTTAGTCCCACCAGGGTGGCAGGCATGGGACAAGGCCAGGTGGGCCTGACTGCTCCACGCTGCTCCTTCTGAAGTTCCCCAGTCCCCTAGCTGCCCAGGGCTACCTGAGGCTCAGATAGCCAGGGCTGGCTGAGACTTGTGCTGCCGGCAGTGGCAGCAGTAGAAGTATGATGGGGCATTGCCTTTCCCTGATTGCTGAGTCACCTCCCACCCCCAAAGGCTCCCGGACTGTGAGAGGGGGCAGGCTGGGCTGAGGGACCCCCCTTTAGTGCATGAATTTTCATGCACCTGGCCTCTAGTGTTACATAAGCTAAATGGATGTGAAAACATCTTAAATACTTTTCATTGTTGGAGGATAATTATTTTAATGCTTTTCAGTAACTATCCCAGGCATAAATTTACTAGTCCAGAAAAGAGAAGGACTATTATTTGCTTGCTTCTTTTCATTCACTCAACTTTTATTTAGCTTCTATTAAGTTTCAAGTACTTTGTTAAACAGTGATGATTTTAAAAAATTAATAAAAGATAGCCCCTGTCCTTAAGCAATTATGATATAATGTGATGAGCATGAAAATAAAGGTGTGAGTATGATGTTATAGGAAGCAGGGATATGGATGGATTTTTTTTTTTTTTTAACCTGGGAAGACAGGTAAAGCCAGAAATTTTTTTTTTTAGCTATTGATCTAAAAAACTTATGAACAATGTTTTTGAGAATGAATTACTATGTATCTCAAAAATTTAGCTTTGGACAATTTAGATTAACTGGGTTTTATTAATGCTGGATGTGCCACAACTTATTAACCATTTGTAAGTGCCAAAAATACTTAGGGTTGAGGATATGACTTTGAAAAGAACTTGCTCTATCAGATATTTAAATTGATTATGAAATTATATGAAACAAAGTATTCCAGATGCTGGAATAGACTGATGAGAGGAAAAAAATGTAGAGTCCAGAAATAGATCCAAGTATTATATATATAAGAAATTAACATATGATCAATGTAACATTGTAAATCAGTGGGCAAAATGATTTATTTAATAAATGATGTTGAAGCACACTTATTGAATAAAGATGAAAAGGAAAGCTTCATGTTTGCCTCATTTGTCTCACAGAGTAAATTCCAAATAGATAAAACATTTAAATGTAACAACAACAAAAAAAAGAAGAAGAAGAAGAAACCTGAGAAATCCTAGAAGAAAACATGGGTTAATATTTTATTATATTGAAGCAAGAAAAGTATGATATGAAAACCAGAAGCCAGAAAAAAAAAAAAGGTTGAGGAATATAAGGGCAAATCCTATCAGATTGAGACAAATGTCTTCAACATATCTGATAGACAAAGGACTGATATCATTAATATACAAAGAACTCTTAGAATCTCGAATAAACAGAATACCTCAGTGAAAATGGCAAAATAAAATAAATATTGACTAAGTCTAAAAAGATCTTCAACTTTATTAGTAATCAAAGAATTGCAAATAAAAGCATGTATATTTTCTTTCTTTTCTCACTAAGATTTATCAAAATTATGGAAATGGTTAAAACAGTTTTTGCAAGGAACATAGTCCTTATGTATTGTAGGAATCCTATCTAATAAAAGGGTAATATGCAAATTGACCATAATGGCAAATGATCAGTCACTATGATGCACACAGGAGGCAGATGCTCAATGCAGGAGCTGACCCCTGGTGGTCAGTGGACTTCCACAGGGAGCACTGCTCAACCAGAAGCCAGCTCATGGCTGGCCAGTGCAGTGGCAGTGGCAAGGGCCTCTTCCGCCTCCACGGCAGTGCTAAGGATGTCTGACTAATGGCTTAGGCCCTCTCCCTGAGTTGAACATCCCCCAAGGGCTCCCGGGCTACCAGAGGGATGTCAAACTGCCAGCTTAGGCCTGATCTCCCAGGGAGCGGGCCTAAGCTGGCAGGTGGACATCCCCCAAGAGGTCCAGGACTGCGAGAGGGCACAGGCCGGGCTGAGGGACAATACCCACCATCCCCCGAGTGCATGAATTTTCATGCACCAGACCTCTAGTTGTATTATAATATAATATATGCCTACTCTTTGTCCATTAATATCACTTTTAAGAATTTACCAAGAGGAGTTAATCTTAAAAATGGTAAAAGATGTATGCACAAACACAGATCCTCATCAAAAATTATAAAACACTTAAATGATCATCAGTAGTATTTAACAAATTACCGTACTACTCTTAAGTTATGTAAATTATGGTACATATAAACAATGGAACACTTCAGACAGTAATCTTGGAATAGAATTTCTGGCCTAAAGACTATGAGTTAGAACAAGGCAGACTTTGGCTGAAAATATAAGTTAAAGTCTGTTGTCTATGTCCATCTGTAATACTATCAACAATAAAGATAAATTTTTTAAAAAGTCAAAGTCTATCCAGTTGTAACATTAAAAAACCTATACTAATAAAAGGGTAATATGCTAATTAGACTTGGATGTCTTCCAGATGTCCTTCCAGACAAAGCCATGGTGGCAGGGGCTGAGGCTGAGGCAGAGGCAGTTAGAAGCGATTAGGCCAGAGGGAGAGCAGTCAGGGGTGATCAGGCCAGCAGGGAAGAGTGGTTAGGGGCCGATCAGGCAGACAGAGTGGGTAGGGGCAACCAGGCAGGCAGGCAGAATGGTTAGGGGCAGGCAGGTGAGTGGTTAGGAGCCACTGGTCCCAGATTGTGGAATTGGGTCTAAATAGGCAATTGGACTTCGAGGATTCCCAGATTGGAGAGGGTGCAGGATGGGCTACCTCCCCTACCCCCCGCCCCCCCGTGCATGAATTTCATGCACCAGGCCTTTAGTAGCAAATAATGTTTCTCATTGTAGTACTGAAGTAGAGGCTGGAGGAACCTTTTAGGTCTAAATTTTTCTATCACTTCATTAAGGTTCCTTTTTTGACCATCCTAACTAAATTGCCAACACATTCTTGGCACTCTTTTCCTCTTACTTTGCTTTACTATTTCTTTATTTGAAAAGGTCCAGGAGTTATATAATTATTATCTAGTGTCTGTGTTACCTTTGGTACCAACTGATATATATTATTTGTTTATTTATTGCCTCTCTTCCCCTATAGAATGTAAGCTTCTTATGAGCAGAGACTTTGGATGTTTTGTTCTTTGCTATGTATCTATCAATCACCAGTGCCCAGAACCAGGCTTGGCATATAGTAGGTGCTCAATAAATATTTGTTGAATGAATAACTATTAGAGAAAGCAATTCACAAATTTAACTAAGTGGATCTCTTGTACTTTACATTATGGGGATATTATTTCCTAATAATAGATGTAAATATTGTGTTGTGAATGTACAGTTTATAAGACATTTCATTAGTATTATTCAGTAATGTAAGTTAGATAGCTGGTTTTTTCCCATCTGTAAAGTCTCAGTTCAAATGTTTCCTCTGTAGAGCATCTTTCCATAACTTTACCATCTAAGATAATTCCTAGTCTCTATCTGTCACATCACATTGTTTTATTTCCTTAAAGTTCTTATCACTTATGACCTTATTTGTTTATGTATTCATTGTGTCTCATCATGTACCATAATGTAAATTCCATGAGGACAGGTGCCTCCTGTTTTATCCCAGCACTTAGAATTCAACACATAGAGGATACTCAAATATCAGTTGAATGAATAATCGAAACAATTATATTTAACATTAGTTAATAATCTTCACAATAATTCTTTTTATATTTAATCCTCACCCAAGGATATTTTTTCCATTGAACAGAGGGTGGTAAGGAAGAGGGAAAAAGAGAGAAGAAAAAGAAGGAGAGAGAAGGAGGGATGGAGAGAGAGAGAAACATTGATGTGAGAGAGACGCATTGATTGGTTTCCTCCCACACATGCAGGAGATTGAACCTGCAACCCAGGTTATATGCCCTTGACTGGGAATCAAACCCTCAACTCTTTGGTGCTCAGGCCAACACTCTAACTGCTGAGCCATACCAGCCAGGGCTTCACAGTAATTCTTGACCCCAAGTATGGATTATATTTCCCTGTTTTGCATTCACAAGGCAAACTGTACTACTTCATTAGCTTAAATTAATTGTAATTGATCAGATTATTTGTGTTATTGTTTATTATCTCTGCTTATCTCTAACTGCAAGCTCTGTGAACTTAGGAACCATGTCTATTTTGTTCTCTTAACAATGAATACAGTGCTTTTGCAGTTGGAAGTTAAATATTTGTTGAATAAATAAATATATGTACAATCTTGTGAGACAGGTATTATCTCTATCTTTAGATGAACATACTGATGCTTGGAAAAATTAAGTAATTTCTTCAAGATAATTATTTGTAGAAATAAGACTTTAGCTGACATCTTCTGACTCTCAAAATCACATTTTTTCAACTATACTCATAGTTTATAGACACAGATGTTGACCATAATAATCTAATGAGCTTTTGAAAGTACAGATTCTCACACCTCTCGGAGACTATTGAAGATGAGGATCCTCTGAAGATGGGGCCCAGAACACTATTTAAAGAAATTAGAAAAATTATTCAGGAGACTCTTATGATAAGCAACATTTAGGAATCAATGATGTATCTGTGCTGAGCCAGCTCAGCCAGGTTCGGTGAGCCTGAGAGTGGGTGATGAAGGATTGAGAAAAGACAGACAATAAAAGAAAGCTGGATCTGGGTGGGACACTGTCCTTTCTGATGGAGAGAGGCAGTGCCACGGACTGCAAGCTGTCTATTTTATAGCCAGAGTCCATGAGGCAAAGTAAGGGCGTGCTTACAACGTTCTGATGGGTTTCGAATCTACTCAGTTATATGCACTTGAACTCTGTCAAGCCCACATCACTCAGACACATGGGGCCATGTGTTCAAACCATAGGTTCAAGCTTACAACTATAGCCTCTAGGTATGCCCTCCAAGCTGGGACTTGCACGTGGCAAGGAGAGCACTGTGCCCTCTCATTAGACCAAGGCTTTAACCTGTGCAAACACTGTAGCCACTCTCCACAGTATCTAGGAGTTGGCAAGCAGGTTACATCTAGCCCACTGCCTGTAAAATTTTAGTGGAACAGAGTCATGCTTATTCATTTACATATTGTCTATAGATATTTTCACACTACATGGCAGAGTTGAGTATTTGTGGCAGAGACTGTATGACCCACAAAGCATAAAATGTTTACTATCTGATTCTTCACAGAAAGTTTGCCAACCCCTGATGTATACTTGGCTGCCTGTCCTATTTCTTTCTTTTTATTTTTATTGATTTGAGAGAGGGAGAGAAAGATAGAAACATCAATGATGAGAGTCATTGATTGGCTGCCTCTTGCATGCCCCTGACTGGGGACCGAGCCAGGATCCTTGAACGGAATTGAACCCAGGACCCTTCAGTCCACAGACTGACGCTCTACTCACTGAGCCAAACCAGCTGGGTCTGTCCTATTTCTTTTGTGGTTATTTTAGTGCTTGAAGATGTGGTAAACATGATGTTTGTCTCCATTATGGGCATTACAGGAGGTGCTCAAATATTACAAATTAACTTATTTTGCAATTTATTTGATAATAGGAGACTAAGTCTTAAATAGCCTCGTCAAATATAAGAAAAATACTATCTAGGCACAGTTCAAGCCAGTCAGCCTTCGCAATGGGTGAGCTACTTTTAACAAAGAAATTTCTGTTCATTCTCTTGGTAATAGGGTGTTCTCTAAATGGGGGTAGATGTGAGGTTTCTTGCCTGTAAACAGTGATTGATTACCATAATTGATATGTATAATAACTGTAATTAATACCCTAATTATTTTGGTATCCCTGATGCTGCCATAAGTCTTAAAACCAAAGTCCCTTGGGTGCTTTTGGTTAGAATTCAATCTAATATGAGTAATTACCCAGGATTGACCAAACCTCTAAACCTAGTATAGTAGCTGATAGCACATGTAAGTATTTATATTTAAAATTAAATAAAATTTAATATTTAATACCTTATTCACACTAACCGTATTTTAAGTATTCCATAGTTAGAGATGGCTGGCTAGCCAAGACTCATTATTTGACTTAATCTTTTGTAAGAATGGAATAATAATTTGTATTGTTTCCTTTTTCTATCAGCAAATAGTGATAAAAATATATTCAATCCTTGTGTTAGGGCCATCTCAGCTAAGAGCAAACTCTATTAAATTCTGATCTCTTTAAACCTTGACTCCAGAAAATAATCTATCTCATTTACCCTACGGACAAACTGTCTTTTCATGATGATTAATCATTGGCCAGCTCATGAAATAGCTTAGAACTGACTGTGATTTCTGGCCAAATCTATTTGGCTTGGTTAATGGTGGTGGGAAAGGGAGTCAATAGGTCAATAGCGTATATAGTCTTGGCATCACCTTTGAAGTGATTTAGATTTTATCATTCAGTGACTCATTTTTATTCCCAGCATCTAGTGCTTTTTGCATGGCCCAAAGGGGCCCTGTGCTGCTCCACTGCAGAGGAAACTTCAAGAAATGCTGGTTTGCTACAGTGTTTTAGCTTGTGAGAATCTCTGGGACCTTCTCTGCTCCATCATGGGGTCTCCTCTAGGTGGGTATTAGGGGGAGATTGGTTCTTTATTAACCTTTAATAAAGAACTTGATAATCTTTTGTGATCAAATAAGATATATATTCAATAGTTGTCTGTCCTTTAAAATGTTTTCCTGGCCCCAGCAGAGTGTCACTTTAAAGAGTGCTTCCTTAATGCAGTGTTCCTTAAAGAGGCTCTAAGGCCACTTCCTTAATGCAGTGTTCTTTAAAGAGGCTCTAAGGCCACTTCAACAGGCTAGAAGATTTGGTGCCACCCCTCCCCCAACCTATTTTTTAGTTACTATAATCAGAAATGCTACATAGGACCTAGTTTTCTCTAAATTACCAGATCTTTGTCATATTGTACATCAAAACAATGCAGCATTGGCAGGGATGGGAGTGGGGTAGGAGTGGAAGAGACAAACCCAATTTTTAGACTGAGGATGCAAGTATAATCTCACTCATTTTGGCTTTTCCTACCCTCAAATGCTCTTACCTTATGTTTCTAGATATAGATATAGAATTTAATTTTTTATTTTTTTTTCTGAAATGAGACCCAACCATATTGGGTTTAAATGCTATCCCCTGATGGCAATAAGTGACCTTTCTAGGAATCAGGTTGTTCAGAAGGAATCTTCTTATCCATTTCCTACCTGTTCTGTTTCTGTTCTGTTTCCATGAGCTTCCTAAGCACTTCTTTGAGTCACTGTTTTATCTTACTGTAACATTTTGGATCACTTTAGGAACTAACATGAAAAACCCCTCTGGTCATCTTTAGACATGATTTAAAAACATTCATCTAAAATGATCCACTCAGGTTATCTAAATTTCTGACCCTAATATTCCTTTGAACCCAAAAAAGGAAAAATTAAGTTTTGTTGTGCTCCAAACCAGTCTGAAAATAGTTTAATGTTTAGTGTAGATTACATCCTGAAAGCATTTTTTTAGGAAGTTGACTGTGATAGAGATTTCTATTTCCTTTACAGGTCATTTTACCTGGGACAAATACCTAAAAGAAACATGTTCAGTCCCAGCGCCTGTCCATTGCTTCAAGCAGGTAATTTATTCTCAACATCCTTAGTATGTGGGAGGCAAGTAGACTTTTTCTGATCCTTAGACAAGCAAAACATGAGGTGGGAGCCATGGGCTTCTCATCTGAAGGCCCTAGAATAAACTTCTATGGGGAGAATGCAACTCAGAACTCACTGAGTTTTGGCAGCAGACGTTCTCCTCAACTTCATTCAAATAATACCTTTTTCTTCTTCACCTCCTTGAAGATATTCTGTGTTACTGAAAACAATAACTAATTTTTATTATTGCTATTTAATCAGCAGGATACATAGTTATAGCCCTTGGTCCGCAGACCACTGTTGGTCCGTGAAGTCTGAAAGGTGGGCAAGCGCTGGTTTAAGGAAACCTTTGGAGCAGTGGTCACCAACCGGTAGTCCGTGGATCACGGGTGGTCTATGAGATCTGACAGATTGGTGACCGCTGCCTTAGACAGTTCTTAAAAGTAGAGCAGTATTTGTTTCTCTGCACTCAACATCCCTGCCACAGTCATTTTTTTTCATAAAAATACTGGTTCTGAGTCCCATCAGGGTAGGGGGAGTGTTTGAAAGAGCTCAGCAGAGGCCATTCAGAGCTTCCCACACAGAATTAAGTGCTCCACACAACGCATAGATGATATTAACTATACCTGTACATGATAAGACTAATAAGCAAATTCTGTACTGCTGCTAAACAGAGCAATTTATATCTCCCTCTGTTACTAATGATTATTTCCTCAAACTGTCAACATTTTACTTTGAGTTTGAATCTTATCTATGCTCTAAATAAAAGTATGATTCAGGGCTTCTGCTCATTTGAAATAATAGGGGCTAAATTTATGTTCCCATCTAAAATAATTTTTTAAAAGACAAAACATATTAAACTGGTTTTCAAGTAACTGAAAATCAAGCAACCAACCACAGTGATCTCTAAAAGATGGAGCCCCTTATGATTTCCCAGCTTACTACCTTAAGAGAGTTTTGAGACCATGGCCCAGGGAAGGTGACTCAAGATTGAGCCCAGAACTCTGTAATTTGAGGATATGGAACTGAGAGTCCAGGAAACCAAGGTGGCTAGAATTTTCAGAACGCATTGCCAGAGAGAAGAAAGCTGTGCAAAAAGCAAACAACAGAAATGTGCAGAAATCTCCCTTCAAGTATTCAGCAAAGTACTGTTGTTCAATATGTGCATGTGAGGCAACTACCCAAAGCCAAGGGAAAAACCATCTGAAAGGTTTAAATGGAATAGATCCTGGCACTCACACTAGGCTAGGAATAGCCCCTGATCCCACCAACTAGATTGGGAAATCTCAGTTCACATGGCATTGGGTGGAATACTCAGGAAAAATATTGCTCAATAGTGGTAAATAATTAGCCTTAAAGTGAGCACTGTTCTGAGCCCGCCAAGAAAATCATAAAGCAAAACTCAGAATGATCAAATCATTTCCAAGTAACTTAGTTGCACCTAGGAACAAACCACAGAAGGGAATGCAAAAATATCTAGCACCCGAAGGAGGGCAGCAGGGAGATGGGAGACGTCTGTAATAATGTCAACAATAAGAAATGTATATCTAGTACCCAGCAGGTAAAATTCACAGTGTCTGGTATCTGATCAAGCCAGATATGTAAAGTGTCTGGAAAATATAGTAATCAATAATGTGCAAAATATTATAATCAATCAATAAACTGACTTAGAACCTATGAAATCTTAGAATAGCAGGCAAAAACATAAAAGTTATATTCAAAAGTTTAGCAGGGAACATGGAAGATATTTAAAGACTCATATTGTACTACTATGTACAAAATAAAAACACACTGGATGATATTAATGTCAGGAGAAAATATTGGTGGATTTCGAATGAAACACACACACACACACACACACACACACACACACACAAGAATCTTGAAAAGATGAAAAGAACATTAATGAGCCATAGGATGACTTCCAAGTTTATGTGATAACTTCATAGACCATGTAATTTTAATGCCTAAAGGATAGAAGGGGACAGAAAAATATTTGGAGATATAATGGCTAAAAACTTTCAAAAATTTATTAAAACTACCAGTATTAATCTACAAATCTAAGAAGTTCAATGACAAAAAAAGAAAGAAAAAAGAAAACAAAGAAGACAACTACACTAAAGCATATCATAAATGCTTAAAATCAGTGATAAGAGAACATCTTAAAAGCAGCCATAAAGTTAATTTTTTTGCATACAGGGAAACTAAGGTATGAAAGACATTATATTTTCTTGTTTGAAACAATGCAAGCAAGGAGGAAGTTGAGTAACATCTTTAACGTATCAAAAGAAAAACTGTCAACCTAGAATTCTATATTCAGCAAAAATGTCTTCCAAAAACCAAAGGCAAAATAAAGGTATTTTTAGACATCCAGAAGCTGAATGAATTTACCAGGAAACCCACTATAAGAAATGTTAAAGGAAGTCCATCAAGCAGAAGGAAAATGATACTAGGTGAAATTATAGAACTATACAAAGAAAATCACTGGAAATTATAATTACAAAAGTAAAGACATAGTTTTTTTATTATTACTTAAATCTCTCTAAAAGCAATTGTATAAACAACAGTAATATTGCATTATAAAGATAATTAAAATTTGTATAAGTAAAATGTATGATAACAATAACTTAAATGCCAAGAGAAATTCTAAGTATAATATTGATAAGATTCATATACATGAAGTAGTATAGTATTATTGCAAGATAGGCTGATAAGTTAAATGTGTTTACTATAAACCCCAAAGCAACCATTAAAATAATAGAAAACAATTAGCAATATAGTGGAATTAAATCCAACCATATCAATAATCCAAGTGATTATAAAAGGTCTAAATGTCCCAATTAAAAGGCTGAACTTATCACATTAAATAAAAAGCAAGACACAATTATATACTGCTTGCAAGAAACTACACTTTAGAAAGAAAGGCACAGATAGGTTGAAAGTAAAATTATATACCATGCTGACATTGACCATATTAATATGAATGTATATTTCAGAGCAAAGAATATTACCATGGATAAAGAAGGAATTTTATAGTATGTATTAAGAGGTCAGATTCCTTAGATGAAGCAAAAAATTATATGAAGACATAAATAAGTCTAAAATTTATCTGCAGTCAGACTTTTAATAACTTTCCTATGATTAGAGAACAAGTAGATAGAAAATAAGCAAGTATCTAAGATTCAAACAACACTATTAGCCAACTTTTGGCACCAAAACCACAAACAATAGAGGTAACCTGATTGATACTCTCTAACGACAATAGAATATGCATTCTTTTCAAGTGCACACAAAACATTTTCCAGGTTAGACTATATTCTGGACTATACAATAAGGCTTGATAAAGTTAAAGGGATTTAAATAATAAGAAATATATTCTCTGATGCGTTGGAAATAAATTAAAAATCAATAGCAGAAAGTTATCTGGAAGACCCCCAAATATTTGGAAACTAAGAATCACATTTTTAAATACCCATATAGGTATTTAGGAACATTAGTATTTTCAGTTAAATGAAAATGAAAGAACATTTAAGAATTTGTGGTATGATGCCAAAGTAGTTTTTAGGGAGAAATTTCTAGCACTAAACATTTATATTCAAAAAGAAGAATAGTTTCATATAGCTCCTACTTTAAAAAACTAGGAAAAATGAATAATTAACCCCAAATTAAGCAAAGGGGGAAAAAAAGAGCATAAAATCAAGATTAGAGCTTAAATCAATCAAATATATACCAGAAAAATAATAGAAAAAAATCATTGAAACCTACAGCTGATTTTTGCAATAAGATAAACTTCTGGCTAGTTGATCAAGAATGAAAAGAGAAAACTAGTAACTAATATCAAACTAAAGGAGGTAACATTATTATTGAATCTATAAAGACATATTAAGTGAATACTATGAACAAACTTATGCCTTTAAGTTTGACCATTTAAATGAAATGGATAATTTCATGAATGATAAAAATTACCAAAGGTCACTTAAGGAGATAGGAAATATAAACAGCACTATTTCTGCCACAGATCTAAAATATTTAGAATATTCCAAGTCTAGATGACTCCACCAGTGAATTGTTTCAAACATTTAAGGGAAAAAATAATGCAAATTCTACATAGACTCTTTTAGAATGTTTAAGAGAAGGGAATACCTTTTGTCTCATTATATGAGGCAAGCATTATTCTGATACCAAAACCAGGCCAACATTGATAGAAAAGAAAACTTACAGAGTTACATCCCACATAAAATACATGTACAAATTCTAAACAAAATTTTAGAAAATTGAATCAAACAATATGTAAAAATAAATCATGACAACTGGAGTTTAGTTTCAAGAATCAAGGTAGATTTAACATTCAAAAATCAATCAGTGTAATTGACCACATGAACACACTATGAAGGAAAAAATAAGATTATCTAAATAGATGCAAAGAATTCAGTGTCCATTAATAAAAACTCAGCAAACAAGAAATAGAAGGAATTTTTTAAAATCCTAAACATCAAAGGACATCTATGAAAAATCTACAGATAACATCACATAAAATGCTTTTTCCTTAAGGTCAGGAACAAGACAATGATTGTTCTTGCTACTTCTATTCAGCAGTGTTCTACCAATGAGACCAGGCCAAATAAAAGAAAAGCAATCCAGACTGAAAAATTAGAACAAAAACTGAAAAAAATATATGGGAAGACTGACCTTACCTACTAGTTGCAAGGTTATGGTGCAAATAGGATGGTCATAAACAATTGGTGAAAATGTAAAATGGTTCAGTTACTTTGGAAAATAGTTTGGCAGAAAACTTCAACATACTATTGAACAAAAATAAAAATCACTAAGTTAACTAGGAATTAAATAATATATTCTTTTTTTTAAAACAAGTGGTTTTGATTTTGCCCTTTTTTTAAAAATATATTTTTATTGATTTTGTACAGAGAGGAAGGGAGATAGATAGTTAGAAACATCAATGAGAGAGAGTCATCGATCAGCTGCCTCTTGCACACCCCCTACTGGGAATATGCCCGCAACCAAGGTACATGCCCTTGACCGGAATCGAACCCGGGGCCCTTCAGTCCCCAAGCCGACGCTCTATCCATTGAGCCAAACCGGTCTTGGCTGGAATTGAATAATATGTTCTTAACTTGCACAGTATTTGTACCTCAGTACTAAAGCCAACATTTTACTCAGTGGTGGAAAGTAATTCAATAAAGATATAATGAAAGAGAAATTTCCATTTACAATAGCAGGAAAAATTAATATCTATGAATGAATTAAAAATATGTGAAATTATATAAAGAAAACTTTAGAAAATAGCTTACCAAAAGCATGACCATTAAAAATTTATAAAGTAGACTATCAAAATTAAGAACTTCTGCTCTTCAAAAGATAATGATAAGAGAATGAAAATATAAGCCATAGACTTGGAGAAAATATTGGCAAACCACATAGCTTACAGCAATACTCTCCAAATTGATCTATTGATTTGATGTACTTCTTATCAAATTCCAGATGCCTACTTTGTAGAAGTTGACAAGTTGACTCTAAAAATTCACATAGAAATACAAGGGACCCAGAATAGCCAATTATATGAAAAAAGAGAACAAAGGTAGATTATTTCTATTTCCTGGTTTCAAAACTTACTACAAATCAACAGAACTTAAGACATGGTGGTACTGACATAAAGATAGACATATAGATCAGTGGATTAGATATAAACCCATACATTATGTTCAATTGACTTTGGACAAAGATGCCAAGACAGTTCAGTGATATTTTCAACAACTCATATGGGGAAAACTGGATATCCATATACAAAAGAATGAAGTCGGACCCATCCTCCACACCATATATGAAAATTGACTCCAAGTGTATGATAGACATGAATGAATGTAAGAGCTAAAACTATAACACTCTTAGAAGAAAACAGGAATAAATCTTGGTCTAGGTCTTGGTCAGCAAACTCATTAGTCAACAGAGCCAAATATCAACAGTACAACAATTGAAATTTCTTTTGAGAGCCAAATTTTTTAAAGTTAAACTTCTTCTAATGCCACTTTTTCAAAATAGACTCACCCAGGCCGTGGTATTTTGTGGAAGAGCCACACTCAAGGGGCCAAAGAGTCGCATGTGGCTCACGAGCCGCAGTTTGCCAACCATGGGTCTAGGCAATGATTTCTTAGATATGGCACCAAAACCACAAACAATAGAGGTGAAACTTGATAGACAAAATTAACTGCTTTCGTGCTTCCAAAGACACTATTGAAACGGTAAAAAGACAACCCACAAATGGGAGATAATATTTACAGATCATGTATCTATAATGATAGCTATATGTCATTATACCTTTTAACAAACCCAATGTACAACACCAAGAGAGAACCATGTTGTAAACTGCGTGCTTTGAGAAATTATGATGTATCAATGTAGATTCTTCAATTTTAATAAATGTACCACTGTGGTGGGGAATGCCACAATAGGAGAAGCTATTCATGTGTGGGGACAGGGTGTATATGGGAAATCCCTGAATCTTCCTCTCAGTTTTGTTATAAACCTAAAGCTGCTCTAAAAAAGTCTTTAAAAACAAAAACAAAAATGAATTACTGATACATTTAACAATATGGATAAATATCAGAATAGTTGGCTGAGTCAAAGAAGCTGGACAAAAAAAAAAAAGAATATATTCTCTATAATTACATTAAAGACTAGAAAACGCAACTCAGTGTACAGTGAAAGTAGATCAGTATTTGTCCAGAAACAGGGATCTGGGAAGGACTAGACAAGGATTATAAAGGGACATGAAAGGACATGTCCATGTTCATCATCTTGATTGTGGTGATGGTTTCAAAGGTGTGTGTGTGTGTGTGTATATATTCAGTAAATATATGTGTGTGTGTGTGTGTGTGTGTGTGTGTGTGTATGTATGTATATGGTGTCATGGATGTATCCATATGTCAAGATTTACCAAAGTGTATATTTTATATGAATTATAAAATTAAAATTGTTTTTAAAGATATAAATTGATTTATACATCAATGTCAAAATAAGAAAAAAATTGATCCCCTCTCCCCCATAGTTAGTCTGTGTGCTGGGTTTACAAAGCAATATACATCACTTCATGAAGAGACACTTAGTATATAATAGGTAAATTGTATAGTTTCTAAAAAGAAAACATGAGGACCTAGAGAATTAGGGAGTTGGAGAAGATAGAATGAGAGTATTAAGTAAGGACCATTTGAGGCACTCTTATCCTTTTCTTACTAGTGTGAGTCAATATTTTGATGCTTCAGTGGAAAGTAATTTTTTCCCCTTGTTCTTACCTTCCAGTGTTTCTTTTGCATGTAAATCTTCCTACGTATTAGGGAATAATTCACAGTGGTTTGTCCCTGGTCAAGCTGTAACCACTTTGAGTCCAAGGCATAAATTTTCAGGTTCCATCTAATATCCTTACTGAAAATGCCACTTAACCTTAGTCTGCCTAATCCCCATGGCTTGTTCTCCTCAGTCCTACACACCTCCAAGCAACGAGTTCAAGATCAGCATGAAATTAGAGGCACAGGATCCCAGGAACACCACATCTACCTGTATTGCTACAGTAGTGGGACTAACAGGAGCTCGCCTCCGCCTTCGCCTTGATGGCAGCGACAACAAGAATGACTTCTGGCGGCTGGTTGACTCAACTGAAATCCAGCCTATTGGGAACTGTGAGAAGAATGGGGGTATGCTGCAGCCCCCTCTGGGTGAGTAATTAGACCCAAGTCCTCTTTAACCAATTTATCTTCCCAAAATTGTACATCCCATTATGGGAAAGCTTAGGGTCCCCTGCCTGCCTTTTCTTTTTCATATGGTCCAAAAGAAAAGGCCCACCCAAAGTAAATGAGCTGTAAAATCTGGACATCTCCATCTCTGCCTTAACTTATAATATTCAAGCATCTCTCAAACTCTCCTTTTTCTAACAAAAGCCATACCCTTCATCCTTCTTTGTCAGTTCCCATTTACCCTGATGGACAGAATGGAAGGAGGTCTTGCCGTTTAATCTGCTTCAAAAAACCATAGAGCTTTTAACAAATTCTACAATAATAACAAGAAGTCAGAGGGTAACCTCCCAATAGAAAGGATGACCATAAGAAGGGTCCCTTATCTCCTTTCCCCTAAATTCTCACTTGGTCCTGGGATTTTCTCACTTTTAATTAATTATTCAGTAAAATGTATTATTTTACTTAAACTGATAACCTCACTAGATTTTTCTCCTTAAGATCAGATTCATCTTTTTCTTCTTTTGCCTTAATATGCATGAGAGATTTAGCCCATCTTTTCAGTCATTATGAATCATTATTGCAGTGAGTCTCAATGGAGGATAGAGAGAGATGGGTTATGGGTTATATAAGGGCTATGTCCCATCAGGAGGTTGTGCTACATTAATTGAGCATTAGAGAACATGTATTGTTTGAAAGCATTCCCCGGGTAGTTATTTAGCATTTTCCCCAATTAAAAAAATTATTTGTAATGTAAAATTTCAAATGTATACAAAGGTAGAAAGAATAGCACTGTGAATGTCCGTGTATCCTTTATCCTTGATAGTTTTATCTATATCTTTACATATTCCCTGCCTTCTTCTGCTCAATCACCCATAGTATTTGTCATTAAATACTTAATATATATAATTTTAAATACAATTATAATAATATCACATAAATAAATTAATGATACTTTTCAATATCAACAAATTTTTTACTCAGTATTTAAATTTTCTCTGTTTTCTTTCTCTCACTCTCTCTCACACACACACACACACACACACACACACACACACTACAGTTTCTTTGAATCAGGATTCAAATAAGATCCACATATTGCAGTTGATTGATAAGTCCCTTAAGCATCTTTTAATCTTTGGATTTTCCTCTCAGGTTTTTTTTTCTAGCAATTTATGTGTTGAAAAATCTAAGTCTTTTGTCTTCAAATTTTTCCATAATTAGATTTTGCTGATTGTATCTCTAAAGTATCATTTAACATGTTTCTCTATCCTCTTTCCTAGAAATTGGTAGCTAGATCTAGAAGCTTGATCATGTTCAGGTTCAGTTTTTCCTAAGAATATTTTATAGATGGTGGTGTTTACTTCTATTAGGAAGGTTTTTGGTCTGATTGTCCTCATTTTTATAATGTAGTAGTCATTACTGCTTGTGGTCTCGATCTGGGCTTCCCAATTTTTCTTAACGGGTCAAATAGTAAATATTACACTTCGTGGGGCCTTGGATTCTCTATTGCAGCTACTTAACTTTATCTTTGTAATGCCAAAGCAGCTATAGACAATACATAAGCAAATGGGCAAGCTGTGTTCCAGTAACACTTTATTTACAAAATGGATGGCGTTGCCTGCTGGCTATAGTTTGCTGACTTCTGATTAAATTTGTCAATTTATCATGCAAAATGGGGAATTGTAACCTTACCATTAATTCCATCCATATAAATTAAGTGGACTGTACCTATTAAAATAAACTTTAATCAATTATTTGGTTATCCTTAAGCATAATTCATGTAAGAAAGATGGTTTAAATGCTTGATTCTTTTACTTACCCATTTTCAAAATAATTAATTGCTTTACTAATATTCTCTAAAAAATGTATAAGGAGGATTTTATTGTTGCTGTTTGGTATCATTAACTCAAGGATTCATACATATTTGATATGTTTCACTTCATTGCACTAATTGTTTTTATTGATTCTTGAAGTATCCCATCTTTGGACTCATGAGCTTCATCAAATTGTCTCTGATTCTTTATTATTTGATAGCTCTCTTGGATTTTTGGAATTTAAAATGTTCCTTGCTCATCTTGTACATTTCTTGGCCCAAATAAAGAATTGGCTATTTCTTTTAGGTGCCTAGGCTCCTTTTAGAGGGAGGCGGTATTTAGAGACTATAATCTAAGCACTAGAGTGCTCAGTGCTGTTGAGATGATCATTCTTTCTAGGTCTTTTTGGTATTGAGAGGTAGGAGCAGCATCTTTTTTATTAGGATAATAAAGTCATTAGTTTATATTAATACTTCCTACTAAAATTCAGGACATTTGTTTTTTTACTGATTTTATCTTCAGTCTCTTAAATCTGTATTGCCTTTGTACCACTGCAAAACTCTAGTTTTCCATGTCACTAAAAATTATTAGTTTTATCCTACAATACATATATACAAGTCTCAGAATAACCACACCAACACTACCACCATTATGAGACCTAAACAATGTTTGAGTTTTTTGTAATTTTTTGTCTTACCCTCGGGAAAGTCTAATGATGTTATAAGGTCATTTGCATTAGTTTTTCTCTAGGTGGCCATGCCACCAACTTGATATAAACTTAGATTCACTTGTTTAATTTTTAATATTTAAAGATTGCTTTTTTAGCTTGGCCAGTGTGGCTCAGTGGTTGAGTATCGGTGCACATGCCTGGGTTGTGGGCTCAATCCCCAGTGTGGGGCATGCAGGAGGAAGCCGATCAGTTGAACCTCTCTCATCATTGATATTTCTATCTCTCCCTCTCCCTTTCTCTCTGACATCAATAAAAAAAATTTTAATTGCTTTTTTAAAATGTTGCTTTATAACTACATAAACGATATACATTGTTCTTAAAGTCAAATCTATAAAATAAAGTATATTCAGAGAGATTCCCATCATCCTATTTCTTTTCTTTGCCATAGGTAACCAGTTTCTTTGACTTTTATGGTTTAAACTCCAATTTTAAAAATATAAACAAATATATCTGTGTGTGCATGAGGGTGTACATACATAGATATGTAACCTCCACCCTCTTATATAAAGGACAGCATTTTATGCATACTTTTCTCAACTTCTTTTCTTTCATTTAATGATATGTCCTAAAAATGACTTCTTAGTAAATAGTTTGGAGACATACTTCAATCCTTTTTATAACTGCATGGTATTAGATTTTTCTCACCTACTTTATGAATCACTATTTAGAAGTATCTTGAGAGACTATTAAAAATATAAGGTCCTAGGGATGGTGATGATCATAAAAATAAAAATATTTCCACAAGTTCTCTAGAAATGTACAGATCAAATAGGAGAATAATCAAACCACCCATAACTCATGTCCAAATATAAGTAGGAGTCAGGAATATCACAAATTTCAATTACATGTTAAACTAAATATTCAGATAAAAATATCTGAAACCAGTACAGTCAGTAACAGATCCATACCAAAAGGAAGTGTTTTATATAGGTGGTAAATGCATTTAAAAAATAGGACAGTGGGGGTTTTACCTAGCTAAAAAAATCACCCCAGAGAAATATAGTCCCATTCAGAGAGGGAAATACTGAGAACACAGCTAAAACCTATTGGATTAGAGCAGTGGCTATTGGGGAAGCAGAAGGAAGAGAGTGAATTGAAAGTGTAAAGAACTAGAGAGAGCAGTCTTGGGAAGATAACTACTTTGGGTGGGAAAGGACACATAATTCTGAAGGAAAAAAAGGAGTAGCAATATATACAGGAACAAAAGAGAATCATAAAATCAAAAAATATACCAACCCTCCTATCCCAGCCCAAACCGGCTCATCTACTAAAGAAACTATATTTCCCTATGCTAACAGAAATACTCTAGATCCCTGCCAAAACAGAACCTTCTGTTTTTGCTGGTCCAGGAAAATATGACACTTTAAATGATTAGTAAACAGCAGTCAACATCTGTAAAAAGTTTCCATGTGAAAAAAAAGAAAATAAAGGTAAAACTATTTTAACTATTGAAAATCCTCCTGCTTAAATCAATGACTAGACAGAGGAAAGCTGTTGTATAACTCAAATTCAATTAAACAAGTATTGACAGATAGGAAATACATTGAATCATAGTCAAACTAGAAATGTACAATGTAAATCACATAAAAGATGTGAAAATAGAATTTTCCAAACTCAGGAAAAAGTTGAAAAAAGGATAAAATAATCTCAATTGAAGACTTAATTCCCAGGTACTTGGCTTAGTTGATCATTCCCATAAGCCAGGGTTGCGGGCTCAATTCTCGGTCAGGGTACATATAAGAATCAACCAGTGAATGCATGAATAAGTGGAACAACAAATCAATGTCTCTTTTCCCTCCCCATTTCTTTTCTCTCTCAAATAATTTTTTTTTATTTTTTAAGTAGCCCCTGGCTTGTTTGGCTCCATCGATAGAGTGTCAGCCTTTGGATTAAAGGGTTCTGGGTTCAATTCCAGTCAAGGGCACATGCCTGGGTCGTGGGCTCAGTAGGGAGCGTACTAGAAAAAAGCCAATCAATGATTCTCTCATTATTTTTTTAAAATATATTTTATTGATTTTTTACAGAGAGGAAGGGAGAGAGAGAGAGAGAGCTAGAAACGTCGATGAGAGAGAAACATCGACCAGCTGCCTCTTGCACACCCCCTACTGGGGATGTGCCCGCAACCAACGTACATGCCCCTGACGGGAATCGAACCTGGGACCTTTCAGTCCACAGACCGACACTCTACCCCTGAGCCAAACCTTTTTTGGCTGATTCTCTCATTATTGATGTTTCTCTCTCCCCCTCTCTTTTCCTCTCTGAAACCAATAAAAATATATTTAAAAATCAAAAAAATAAAATAAAAAATAGGGAAACACCAACTACTTTTTATAAGGCAGGTGGAACTTTGATATATAAACTTGATTTCAGCACGTATAACACACAGTCATGTATGAATGTTGTTTTAAAAATCTTAAATAAAATATTAACAATTAGAA